ATTTTGATTCAATGCAGAATCTCAAAAATCTTGTATGAAGAAAATGCGCGTACCATTTACATCTCAGGTAAGTACTCTACTTACATCTTGAACTTTAATAATATCTAAAACTTTTCCTAAGCAATTAAAAATGTTTAACTTTTTTCAGCTACCAAAAGAGGAATATGACACTAAGAGATTATTAATTTGTTTTACAAAATAAAGTAAAACAAGGGATCTTATAGGGGTCTAAGCTACCTCTTGTTAGGTCAATAGTTGATTCATTCTGATAAAGCATTACTACATAATGTTTCAAATATGTATTTTTTCCTTTATAAAATTGTATAAGAAGTCTGCTAGAGTTTGGATCACGTTAATTAGAACTAACATTAGTAATATGTTTAGGCATAAAGTTTAGTATAAAAAAGGTGAAAATCAAATAAATTGCTACAACGTCTCGAAATATAAAAAGTATTATATGCTTTGTGATGAAATTGAAGATCTACTTAATGAAAATTAAGAGATAAATCATATAAGATATAGTCACTCCTGCCTGAAATACGTAGTATAATATCAGAAAAATTTTTGCCAAAGAATAGAGCTGTGCGACATATAAATTGCATATATACAGTATATATATATTCACTTAAACGAAATTTTACAACCCGTAAATATGAATATTATAACTATGTTTAATAATTTATAAATTAGTAGTTTAAAAAATTATATAAAAAATTTTTTATAGATTTTTTAGAAAATACAAGATATAAAAAAGTTTTTAATTATAATGCATATAGAATAATAAAGTATTAAGAAAATAAAGAAGAATAAGGTTATACCAATTTGATTTTCGTTTAACATAATACCCTCCTATTTTGTAAATTTAATAAGAATATTATGCATAATATACAGCCAATAAAATTGCTGTATTTTTGGTCATATGATAATTTACCAATCGCATCGATTACATGAAAGACATATGAAACTGCAGATATTTAGAAATTTGTATAATAATTATAAAATATAATTGTGAAAAAAAATAAAAGCTTCTTACTACCATTTTCTCTTATTTTTACGCATGGAGAATTTATGAATTTTTTTATACTTAGCTTTTCTAATAAAGTTTTGTTGTTCTAGCAATATTTTTTGATTTTCAAATAATAAATGTTTAGGTTTCTCCAAAACATTTTCTTCTCAGCTGAATTTTATTTATTATCTTTGCGCTGGGATTCAATTTTAAAATTTCAAATATTTTACTTTTTTTTTCTGAGCCCCACATTTTTTGTAAATCATTTGTGAATTTTTTATCTTACAACATTTACAGAATACAAGATGCAATTGAAAGACTATGAGGAAGTTATGGTTACTAAATGGATAAAGCAACAAAAAAAAATGACTTTAAATCAACTAGATTTTAATTTCAAATATTAAAACTATCAAGATAAAGTTGGATAAGTTGGATAGGCCAATTGGATAACAGATTACTTGAAATACTATAATGGAATTAATGGATTATCTTTCTGTTCACGGATAAATAGATTTTTAGATCAGTATTTTTTGCTATTTTTGTGATTTTTTGCGTAAACAGTGTTAGTTCATAAACATGTTTTATCTTTTAGTACAAGTTAACGAAAATATCAAGTGCATCATTTCTGAACGTATAGTGAGCATAGAATCTACAACTAATAAGTTTTGTGACCTTTTTGATGCTATTACAGTAGGGCAATACAATAATAGAGAGGTGCAAGTCTTTGTTAGAAGAGAAAGGTCTGAAAGTTAGCAAGAAGTTGATAATGATTTAAATGGTAACCTAAAAATGTTAGAAGTTTTTGGATTTTTGCAAGTTAAATTTTGTCTCATTGCCAATATAAATTCAGATACGCCAGCTTCAACTCAAAGTAAACTAAATGCTTTTAGCATTTTAATGAAAAATTTAAAGCAGCCATTACTTCCTCAATATTATATAGAACATAATAATTATAATCGACTTTATAATGAAATTATTGAACTTTTTCAAGATTAAAAAGTTGGTTGGATAGGTAGCCTATATGATACAATTGACAAAATATTTGTAAATCAATTTACAAATGCCTTATGGTATATTGATCCGCATCTTTCTACATTACATGCACATTCATATTACTTGCCAGATTTTTTACACAGTTGAAAACCTATCAGAATGGAGAAACATATAACAAATTTTATCATACTAGCCATCATAAAAAAAGTTCAATATCACAACAAAAACTTGCTCATCTTGCAAATTCTCTTGAATTATCTATCAATCAACCATGAACAAATAGTAATATATGGAATCAAGCAATGCCTAAAATCCTTTCTCTAATTGAAATTTTAAAAATATATTCTGAATATTTAGTTAATACTGCTAATAGTATGAATAAGCTTCATTATAGTGATGAAAGTGCTCGCAGTTTTGATAATAACAGTTTTATGTATCAAATTGTAAGCATAATAGCCTCAAAGATGATTATATTCAATTGAATGATTTTCTATTTGAAAGACTATTTTATGAACATGTTGATATTTAAGAATTTCTTTCAATTGATATTATGAAATGATACTGATTTATAAAAGAGTTATAGCTCACATTTTCAATAGATGTATATAGGTTAGTATTTTAATATTATATCATAAATTATTTACAAAATCGTTAACAATTAATTTTATTTCTAGATTTTATCAAGGAAATTATTTAGAAACAATTAATTATATATAGAGAATCCCAGAAACTGATATATTCAATGATGAACAAAGTGAAACTTTAAAAGCACGTATGCTAACTAGAATTCACGAAAATTTACCCTATTACTTTACATGATAAATGTGAAAGAATGTGCTTAATAAGATAATGAAAATGTAATTGATATTTGAATATTTAAATAAATCTATTATCTAACCTCTTAATATTTATATAGTATTCTTATATCAAGAAAGTTACACTGGCTATATTATGAATGCTTTATTTTGATCTTACTGGTGATGCTGCCATAAGTTCAAATGCTATTACTCATGATGTTGAAGAGAGATTATGAATGATATTAACTCTAGCAGACCCTAAAATAATATTTGATTTACAAGCAAATAATGGATTAATGGAATAAAATTTAATACATTTTGGGATGAAACAGAAGTTTATTTTAATAAACAAGTAAGTTTTATATCTATTTATTTATCAGATATTTTTATTGAAAAATGCTCTAAATTATTTTATTTATTAGAATTTATTAGTAGTAAATGAAAGATATCATGGAAATATTCTATATATGCCATTGGTTTTATCTATTCGTGACCTTTGTGAAATTATTATAGAAAAATTAAAAAATCTTCATAGTGATTCTCTTCTTTCTAACATTCATATTCCATCAAATGAGTGAATTCATCTTTAGTTTAGTCCTACAAATGTTATAATAACACAATCAATATTTTATACTAGTCGATTTAATGTAAAATTTAAGGTGAAAGTCGACTGCTTTGAAAAAATAGTGATGATACACATTATTATGCAGCACTTTTTCAATATCTTAGGGATTTTGTATTCAATATCGTCAATGGACTTGCTTAATTTCTGCAGATAATAAGCATAAAATTCCTATTAGAGAAGATGTTGCAGTTTCTACAGGTGTACGAAATCGATGTTCTATAGTAACTCAAAATAGTATCTTAGCTGCAGCTGATCATGATTTTACAAAACTTTCGTTAACTCTGTTGGTTACATTTTTTATAACAATTCCTAATAATATTTCAGAATTATTTTATGAGGATCAGGTATTTGTATCTTATAAGAATACAATTTTTGAACCAAGTACTCCTATTAGATATTCAGCCGAATTTTTAAATGCACTTAATATCTAATATATAAATTAAATAATGTCACCAATTTTATGCCTTTATACTGATAGAGGTCCAGATATTCGATGCAATTATGATTAGTCTTTTTTTTTATGGAAATTTTGATTTGCTTATTGCAGTTCGTACAGCTCCAAATCATAGTTAGACAAATCCAGCAGAATGTATTATGAGTACTTTAAATTTGGATCTTCAAGGTATAGCACTTAAACGTGATTCAATGAGTTCTGAATCAGAAAGTTTATTTGATACAGTAAATACCTTAGATGATATTCATAAAAAAGCTCAAAAATCAAATAAATTAGAATCTGAATTAAAAGAAAGTATAGTAGGTATTAAAGAAATACTAAAGAATCGAACAGAGTAACTTAAATTAAAAGAAAATAAATTTAAATGTCATAATCTGGTGAATAAAAAAGTAATTGAAGAATTATTTGAGGTAAAAAATTAAATATATTTAACAAATGTATTTATGTAAATATTGTAAATATTATAATTTATTAATTTATAATATAATTTTATATAGGCAATTTATGATA